CTTGCTGTGATATTCACTGCTCATTTTCATAATTTTCCTTTTTTTTTTCTTTTTGGGGTGTGCGTGCATGCGTGTGTGTGAGGGGGGGGGGGGGGTGGGGGGTCTTATTCACATTCTGAACTGTGTCTGAACTACACATGCTGTATGTCTGATGTACATTCTACCTGCTCTACAAGTTCTAGCAACTATGTGTACGTTCTGAAAGTAAAACTGCATCATCAACATGTCTTGATAAAGGGTGAGAAGTACATACACTAGCTAATTGTTATGAGGCGTTCGTCTGTAGAAATGATGAATGCATGTATCCCATTTAAATATTACAGTGTTTTTTTTACTCTGCATCTGCTGTTTGCCACTTCTCCTTCCCCTCGTTATCCTAATTCTCCGTCTCCTCATTCTCCGTCTCCTTGTTGTTGTTGTTGTTGTTGTTGTTGTTCTTCTTCTTCTTCTTGCTTTTTAGAATATAGTGTTTCCCAAATTTTCTAAGACTTGCGCAACCTTGTTATTTTCAAAAGTTCGTGGAGCTGTTTTCAAAAGTCTGTCAATGACCTTCAAAAGTCTGTCAATGACCTTATACTTTTTAATTGGTCGTACTTAAGAACTTATAAACATTATAAAAGTAAAAAGCATTGCGACTCAAAGTTGAATAATATATATATTTTTTTTTTTATGATGTCAAAAAATTCCTAAATTTGCTCCGATGACACTCTGATGGAAAAGTTGAGGCAGACCAGGATTAGAAGATGGGAAATGATAGAGAAAATAAGATACTGTTGAGTAAAGCAAACCACGTTTTATTAGGACAGCTACTCTCCCCTCCCCCCTCTTTATGCCCTCTAACAGCATAAGGCTTTTTCATTCAGCATGAAGAAACACTTATACACAGCCCATTTATTCTCACCTTATGCTACTAGTGCCAGACAAGGTCACCCACAACAAACCAGAAGAGAATAGTAACCATGGAAATGAAATGTTTGAAAAAAGCTGCATGGGTGACCAAAATAGATACTTTATCTTCCTTTTCACCTTCACTGGCTGTAAACTCCGTCGGAAGGTTCTCGTTGTTTGTCTACTTCTGGACTTAAGTCTTATTCCAGAACCTGTTTGTTGCGTGAACATCCGTTTTACAAATCTGGCTTATTTGTATGCAAGCTGTTGGTTCCTTGCCTCTCAGGTAAATGCATAGCGACTATGAAGGAAACCCCAAATTAGTCGATTCTTACGACATTCTTGTTGGGGAGGTAGTGCGTCTATTCTTGTCATTCCCATAATTGGGCCCTGGAACCCACACGTCGGGAACAAATGATTAAGAGAATAAGCAAAACAGAACCAGAATTATTACAAAGACAGCAACTAAAACGGTTTGCCCACATAGACGGACTGCCTTGCGAGGCCATACCATACAACTTTTTCACCAAAAGAGGAGAGAGAGAGATGTATAGCAAGAGGCAAACAACAACAAGAAGCCTACAAATTTTGAAGGAAGCATTAGAAATCCAAACATAATCTTAGCAAGTCTATATAAGCTGTGCTGAATTATCACTTGTTATATTCCAAGGAGTCCCCCTGCAGATGTGTAGCAGGAAACATTACAAATCCCAACCTAATCTTAGCAAGTCTGTATAAGCTATGCTGAATTATCACCTGGTTATATTCCAAGGAGTCCCCTACAGATGTGTAGCAGAAAACATTACAAATCCCAAGTCTGTATAAGCTATGCTGAACTATCACCTGGTTATATTCCAAGGAGTCCCCTACAGATGTGTAGCAGAAAACATTACAAATACCAATCTAATCTTAGCAAGTCTGTATAAGCTGTGCTGAATTATCACGTGGTTATATTCCAAGGAGTCCCCCTACAGATGTTTAGCAGGAAACATTACAAATCCAAACCTAATCTTAGCAAGTCTGTATGAGCTGTGCTGAATTATCACCTGGTTATATTCCAAGGAGTCCCCCTACAGATGTTTAGCAGGAAACATTACAAATCCAAACCTAATCTTAGCAAGTCTATACGAGCTGTGCTGAAGGAGTCACCCTACAGATGTACAGATCCCGTATCGCTCTTGCAGAGGCCGCTTGTCGTTCCCGAACTTGTATGGTGCCTGTGTGGGTTTGGGGCCCCCTTCTAAACTAAAAAAAAAGAAGGGGGGGGGGGTAGACCCAGGTCCTTCCTTATACGCATTTCATAAAAGTCTACAAATCAGGAGTGTTTCTGTCAAATTTGCAGTGTGCCTGAGACGATTGTGCATACAAATAAGCCAGGTCTGCATAATGGACGTGCAAGCGAAACTTAGGTTCTGGTGCAATACCAGAGTCCAGAAGTGAATAAACAACCAGAACTTTCTACCGGAGGGTGCAGCCGGTGAACGCGATAAGAAAAAAAAAACTTGAGTGGAAGATAATTCCTGTAACAGTCTCCGTGGAGTAAGTAATGTGGAAGCAGGTCGAAAGTCTCTACAGCAGTGGTTCCCAAATAGTTAACACTTAAGGATCTCCT